TTTTCAGCAGTAGCGATATGAATTTGGCAATCGTGAATGAATCTGTCAGTGTCTAATCAAGAAAAAAAAAATAGATATAGGTAATAACGAATAATATCTTTTATGACGCATGATCAGATATCAGCTCAGGAACCGAATGTAAATTGTAAACGGCTCAGTAACGCAAACTAAACAGCTAGCCGGGACACACCTTCATGCTGCGGTAAGCTGCGTGGAACCACTGCTGACCGACGAACTGCATGAGAAATCCGGGGAGCGGAGGAGCCGTCGCAGGCGGCGATGGTTCAGCCTTCACCGCTTCAACAGGCTTCGGCACTGGCTCTGCGACCGGTGGAGGGGCGACGGTACGAATCACAGGAGGCGGTGCCACGAGGGGAGGCGACTGCACTTGCACACGCTTTGGTATCTGTGGCCTTGGTGGTAGTGGCTTCAGAGGTTGCAGTTGCTCGATTTTCTTAGGTGACGGAGTCTGTTGTGGGAATATCGACAACCAAACGTCAATTAACTAACTTAACACACAAACCGTAAAGATATTGCAGTATAGACAGAGAAGATGGCATTTCCAAATTACGTATGGCTCTCCTAATAAACCAGTTAATCAACCTAAAGGTTCAGGTTACGTCTGGGAAAATTGCTATTAAAAAAACTGACATCACACATACCCGTTGTTGTAGGGGTGAGGGGGTCTGTATGGGAGAGGATGACTCAGTAACACTCTCACAACTACTTATTCGCATTTCATCATTCATTCTCTGCCAGAGCAAATTTTCTTCTTCCTCTTCATCCTCATCCTCTTCCTCCTCGTCATTACTGCAATTTGCTTCTGCTTCTTCTGCTGCTTCCTAAATGTGATAATGCCAACAGTAAGCACATTAATTTCTATAGTGTGCCATATATATTATCGGAATAAGGTCGCACTAAGCATATATATATATATATATATATATATCGTTTAAACTTCATACCAATTTATTGTGAAAAAAGGTATTGGATATTAACAAGCCGCCCTGTGATGGCACAAGCTCACAAAATCAAACGCGGCCAGATATAGCTTATGAGCTTGACCATGAACATTTCTATACTACTATTAGAAATAGTTACATAGATATCTACTATATAGATGTTCATGTTCATCGTATGGCTAAGAGACTGGATGACAAATAGTGTGGATGGCACCCTTACTTTGCGGGCTAGAGCTGCAAGCTGAGCTTTGGTGAGACCCACAGGCCTCCACGACTTTCCTGACATCCGCTTCTGCTTCACCTCCTCCTTCCAGAGGCAACTCGCGAGCACCGAGTTGGGAATGAAGCCATTAGGATTGGTGGCATATCTTCTGGTGTTGGGGCAGACGATGGCTTTGGACGGTGAAGGGAAGAAGCCCCCGCGAACAGAGCAGGGTGACACGTCTTCTTGTTGCATTACCTGTGGTATCTTGTCATCTAGGGGTAACTGTTCAACAGAGATGCATGCGTGCATAAGATAAGTAATAGTATATCCAGCTGGTGCATATCCCAGGATTATATGCATCTACATGCCAGTGTTTATCATTATTATTTCACTATATATCTTGAAAAAAATCATTAAATTCATTTGTTTGAAAATAAATTACCATATTTTGAACATGAGATAAATGGTCAATGGCAATACAGTATAATAATTCTAGCTCTGATGTAAACAAATTTACGTGTAACACTTTTATGTTAACGATGGAAATAATGCACTATGGATGCCTGCAAACGTGGTGGTCATGATCTATGAATGTTGACTCACCGGCACTTTAGCGAAGTCATATAAGAGGTCGTAGTATTTCCTGAATGCTTCCAGTTTCTGTTTCCTCGTGAGATTTGCCACTTTTGGTACCGTAAGTAGCCCATCTCTAATCTTCAGTAGCTCTTCATCTCTTTCAATTAGTGATGAACAGATCTAAGAAAATATAGATACAGCTAGTATTCCTGCTACTGATGCACTTAGGATCACGCCACTAATAACAATCATTTTGCCTAAAAACGCCTATAGCCAAGTATCTGTTGTTTGATACATGAATAATCACCTTGATTTCATGAGTGCATTAGTTAATCTGCAGCCTAGAGTCTACCAGATAAATTAACAGTGGCCTATATACATATATCACTCCAGCATGAATTAATAAAGTTAATAATGCCATCTCAGTTATTAGAAATGCGAGTTCTAGCTATAGTTGGAATTCTGTTACAAAAAATAGAAAAAATAATCCTCAGTGTTTAAGAGCATACACTCATGCATGCACGCACCCCTCCCCCAACACACACCAGACGCACACACCACGCAGCAGCACGCACACACGCACAGACAAAAATAAAATATAAATTCAAGGAACCTCAGATTTTTGCTTTTTTTCTCTAGCAATTTCACTCCTTTCTTCTTCAGTGAGCGTGTCTTGAAAATGCGTATACCTGAAACAACACATCTTCACATTTTTATTTACATACACCAGCAGGGTTCTCCAAGAGCACTTATAGCCTGGCGGCCCGCCAGGCTATCGTCGAGCCCCGCCATCCTAAAATGCACCCGCCACTCTAAATATCATAGCCACCATGCTAAATATCATAGCCCCCGGACACCCCTAGCACGCAAACCGCCTTCGGCGATTTGCAACTCGGACTGTAAAGGCAGCACCCGCCATGCTATAATGAAAAAGCTTGGAGAACCCTGGCCAGAAGTCAGTTTTCAACAAGACTCAATATGACATCATCTCTCGTGGAAACACTGCAACTACATTACCGACAGTGCCACTGTTTAGAAAGTTATATTCTCCTATCGATTCGACTTACTATACGATATCAGTCAAATCTGTGCAAAGTAGACGTGCTTCAATACCTGAACAGAGCCGAGTGAGTTGGGGAGAGTTTGTGCAGCACGGGCAGCGTTACACCTGCAGACACATGTAGTGGGTTATCTGGAGGTTCACCACAGTCCAGCTGTGACACGACCTTGTTGAACGTGTCTCCCGGCATATCTATTGCAAGAGTAAAACGTTTTTTCCAATCGATGTAGCTAGCTTGCTCTGTCATCTTATATTTTACACATTTTACACATGTTAGCTACAGGCATTGTTGGTTATTGGCACTTTTTCGATCATACCAATATCAGGAACATAAATATATATATAGCATATATGTTCATGCTAATACATACGAATGTAAAACAAATTTAATACCAAAGACAGACAGAAATAGAGTGTCACATATATCATTACAATGCAAACATTTTGAGGGCAACACCAAATGTGTGGTCACACAATGACTTTATATAGGCTACAGATAAACGCATAAATAAGATTAAAATGAAATACCAAAGTATTGTGCTTACATTCACTGTAATGTATTTTATGCAAATGTTTGCCAATTCCAACAGCCAAGTCCCCTCTCTTACTGCAGAAACTCAGCGCTGTTGGCACGGCTTTCAACTCTACAATCCTATATTACCAAGAACACACATTCTGTGATAAATATTCACGTACTTCGTCATATATGCTAAGGTTTATTACATTAAGATTCATCACTCTTTTCTGTATCCTAACAGTGTAGTATAAATATATCTTCAGTATAATCGTGAACCTAACTATACGACCTAAATATGAAATGGCAATCTGGCTGCAATAGCTGGTGTAATGGCCTTTCATGTTTATTGTCTAGATGGTTGATGTACATGGTATCATTAAGTGGCCTTGTCAGAAATGTGTGTAACAGCATGTTCTTTATGGCTCATCTCTCAATTTTAACCTTTCAAAGGTTAAGGTTATCACTACAATACTACTATTAAGGGTAATTATTCATACCGGACTAGCTCATTTTTGTCATTCCATATTCTGATGGTGCCATCCACACTTGCCGATGCAAATATATTCATATATGCACAGCTGCAGACTGCTATTATTTCACAATTGTGGTCATCTTCTGGCGAATGGTCATAGCGATCTGTAAATAATAACACCCGACTTTAAATCATTCAATTAAACCACGATTCTTGGCTAAAGGAAAGTCCAATAGTTAACGCCGTTGTTTCCGTTTCATTAAAACGTTAACATTATGCATCTAATTAGTTTGGCAACACCACATTCACAATACAGTGTGATGTGTGTGTGAAAGTGTAAACTTCACGCAGTGCATTTCAATAACAATTCACGACGGCCTTATGTCCCACCGGGGGACCATGAAGCTAAGTAAAAAGTAAGTAAGTATTTCAATACCCTTTATAGCAGTATCATACACGGTCAACATGTAGGTGGCCGTTTGCACATGTGCGAATGATATGCAGAGCAAGTTTCCAATGGCAGCTACATGAGTTGGAGTATGGTAGCATTGCAATGCCATGAAAGGTGCTAGGGATTCTTCTACAAATGGGTATACTCTCCATAGCTTTAGGACAGAATCTGGCGGAAAGGCGAGAAACATTATTTTCACACTATTTTACCAAGGTATCGACATGTATTGACAAGAAGTGCGAGTCACGTTAACAATAACTGATGCAGATAAGATCTATGTCCCCCTGACCTCTGTTTAACCTGGCTCGTTTAGCTATTTCGGACTAATATATATATATATATATATATATATATATATATATATATATATATATATATATATATATATATATATAATATATATAATATATATAGGGTTAGGGTTAGGGTTAGGGTTAGGGTTAGTCAGAAATAGCTAAACGAGCCAGGTCAAACAGAGGTCAGGGGGACATAGACCCTACGAGCATAACTGACACATAACAAAAAGCATCCACTGCCGAAGCAATGATCTACGTTCCCAGTTTATTACCGTGGCTTCGAAATATTGATCTTACATCAAGTGCCGACTACTGGTCATATGAATGCATGCCACTTAATTGGCAACAAATTTTATACCATGATACCAGAGGTTAATAAAAAAAATAAGGTCTTTATTAACTCCTGATGATACATATATAAAGTTTAATATTTACCTTCACCGATGCTGATGAGCTGATCATTAGAAACATGTGCCACCAAACTGCTAACCATGCCCTCGTGACCCTAAAGTTATTGGACAAACATTTTTACCTTTGTATGACCATGACATGAAAACGCAAGTATTAATTCTACATTCCCCTTTCAGACTGCATTGGCTTGACAATAACTAATAAAAATTAATCAATAATAACAGCTACAATATATACCTTTTTTAGGATATGTTATCCTTGCATTACTGCACTACTGTACAAAATATAATGGAACTACAACAAATGTAGTGTCAAGGTATACTTAATGCACCTTAATAATGAAATCCGTGACTCCTGTGGTCCAATTCAGTCTGGCGATGCAACCGTCTTCCCTTCCGACAAGCAGTAATGCTGGAACCTCGTTCTTGCTGCTCAATGAAACCCTTCTTCCATGCAGCAGAGACAGTTTTCTATCAGGCTTAGTATACTGAGGACTGGACTTGCCAACATATTGGTAGATTGTCGTACACGTGTACCTACCTACAAACATTTCCATAGCAAACCCACTATTTAGACACCAGCTGCTGAGAGCAGACATATATATATATATATATATATATATAATTTCAAAACCATACCACCTTCCACCTCAGATAAAATATTAAAGACAAACCCCTTACATTATATTATCTATTCAGTTGGGCATATAGAGTTATGGACAAAATTACTAGAATCTATTATTTCTTTACTATGCGCTTACTTTCTTCAAAGATCCATGTTTTCAGAATTTTGCAGGGATTCACTGCCGCATTGCTTTTCACAATGTTTCCATTGGTTGTCAGCACAAACACCACACCTGCAGAACACAAACTTAACCAGTGAGCATGATCAATGTAATTATTCATATAATTAACACTCATGGCATATTAAGCTTACATATATGGCAACAAAAAATAGCTATCCGTGCACGTCAATGCTAGTATGGTTCATCTACATTAACCATTAAACAATTATAATAAATATAGCAACTGGCATATGTATGTATATATATATTCCTGGTATTTGTGAACAGACCTTGTACAAGTGCGTAAGCAGTATCTTCAACTCTGGTGTCATCATCTAGTAGCAAGGTTGTGATAACGTGGCCTGAGTAGGGCGAAATTATTTTCACAGTAGAGCCACCACATGGCAGACACAGTCTCGTGGGAAAATCTGGATATTCAACCTTCTCAACACGAGCTACCTCAGAGCTGTGAAACATACATATATGTAGACAACAAAGGTACATATACACTTTCAATAAAGGCTGGGTTACTATTACTACTCTATATCTACATGCCATTGCAAGAAGAGTATACATCTACAGTGTTGATATTTCCTTCTACTGAATCACCTGATGGGAGTGAGTAGCCTGTGGAGGTGATGAACCTTCCAGAACATGAGGCCACAGTGGGAATACGTGAACAGCTGGTCGTCTTGCATTACCGTGCCAATGCACTCCACTGGGTAAGCAACCATTGCTCTAGAACGAGGACATATCAAGCTTGCAAATTATAGGCTTAAGATCTGGCTTACTAATGACATGTAATAATTATATACAATCTGGGCTAACGCTCCATTAGGAGTGTTCCCAACTTTGATATCATTAATGATTAATGATTGATAATCCTAACCCTAACCCTAACCTAACCTAAATGACATTAAACCACAAACTAATATACGACCATGACCATATATATATATATATATATATATATATATATATGTTATTATGACCATTAATGACATTAAAGTTGGGAACACTCCTAATGGAGTATCATCACCCACAATCTGCAGCTGTAACATCTTGAACGCTAACAATAGTTTAATAGACTTGTCAACAGAGCCCTAGACTGTTTTTACAATGCGCAAATCCACTGCATCACCTCCTGCATGGGTCTAATGAGCTTATGATTTCGATGCCATTGAGCAACACAGATAGTGAAGCTGTAAGACAAGAATATTTTGAGACATTTTATATTTTTAGCAAGTACCGGTTAGTGTGGCTGATAGGGTCTATGTCCCCCAGGGTACTGCCGGAACGTACCTTGGGTACGGTCCGGTATACCGGAACGTACCCTGGTACTAAATACTATACTATCTAATACGCCAGAATATACCTCGCCTACTCCACTAACGAGTCTAGCGAGTCGCCTACGCCTACTCCCTAACTCTAACCCTAACCCTAACCATATCAGCTAGATAGTTACCAGGGTACGTTCCGGTATACCGGACCGTACCCAGGGTACGTTCCGGCAGTACCCTGGGGGACATAGACCCTATGAGCGTTAGTGTGAGCTACACACATTAAAGCTCTAAACTTGTAATTACCCCATGAGGATAAAAAACTTACTGGTCTACCTGGTCATGTGTCTCTAGGTTCCAGATTCTTATTGTGCAATCAAGAGAGGCAGACATAATAAGTGGTCCGTAGGGGTACACAGCTAGGTCTAATACAGAATTATTGTGCCCCACGAATACTGCTTGCAGCTGAAAGCTGTCATTCCAAACTTTCACTGAAAATGTACAATTAATATGAAATAGTAGCAAACTGGGGTCATCTGTTTATATACTTTCAATCCTTTCACCATTCAGGACTGCTACAATCATTACCATATTTATCTCTGTGAATGTTTTTGCAAATCTTTGCAATTGTACAAGCTATAGCATATCATCGGTTTAGTAAAATAAAATAGGTGAATGCAATGAGCACACATACCTGTGCCATCTTTGGCTGCAGTGATTATGAACTTTAAAGGATTGAAGAACATCATAGCTGTAATATTCATTCTATGAAGGTTTTTTGCCAGATGAACTACTTTTCCCTCATGCAGGTTTATCACCTGAGTGTCATACATTGATATCAATTACGTCAGCACAGGCAGTGCTACACACTATTCCACTTCGTTACAATTGATGTAAGCCAATAATATATCTGTCTAGCAAGCCAACACCATAAAAGATAAACCTTAGTAAATAATAAGTATACCTACACTAAAAATATATATATAAATAAACTTAATCATGCATTTCGGGAACTAGCAAACTGATGACTCAAGAATAATTGACCGTGGATACCTGAACAAAGTTTTTAGCTGAAACGTAAAAGCGTTGGGTGCGGCTCGCCGTTCTCTCAAGAGAGATGAGTTTCACGCCGTCGAGCAGGCAGGTATCCATCTGAATGACAACCCTCTGTACGAGGTAGCTGGCACTGTGCTGAAACACCCAGCACTGGAAAAAAAACATCTTTTATATATCAATCACAGATGATACATCCCGTCTCAGTTGATTCAAGTAGGAAAAAAAACACTATAAAGACACTGCCAGCTACTTCTAGGTAAACTAATACGAGGTCAGGCATGATGGTATATACTAATTAACACATGTGCTAGTAACGTGGATAACTTACAGTGACAGTTGAGTGATGACAGGTGATTATTTCCCCACATTCGTCATTAGAGATGAGTCGTTGAGCTCTGTTACTTAATGGCACTACTGAAACAACATCTAGGCTCATGTTGAAAAGCTGTAAAAAAGAAAACTTTAAGAAGTAATGGGGAAAAATCACTTAAATCTATATTTATTTTTTCTTTCTTTTTTAAATCTATGAAATTTGTATCAATTCCAGGGCTGTAGCCTGTGTGTGTGTGTGTGTGTGTGTGTGGGGGGGGGGGCAGCTGTTCCCCCTAGATTTTGGAGCAAAATTAAAAAAATAATCGTTCTGCTAAAAAAGAATTGTTGTAGTCAGAATGAAGGCTGTACATGTACTCAAAGTGCCTCAAACACCATCTCCTGCGATCTACATTTTCAAAATTTTCGGCGGGAGGACCCCCAGACATCCCCCCCCCACCTGTTTCTCAGCCCCTCGAAATCCTGGATCCGCCACTGCCCCCCTAGGAATTTGCTCAGCCTACGGCCTTGAATTTTGCTTCATATTTTCTTTCTATACACTTATAAATATAACAAAACTAAAATAGATTTAATAGGCCTGAAAAAGCGACCAGGTGTAAACACAACAAAATGTAACCGTATGCATGAATAAATGTATCAGTGTTTAAATTACAATAATTACAAACACAGAAGTCCTAGCTAAAGATAATATTAAATGTGATGGGATGATGGGTTGTTAAAGGTTTTACTGACCGACTTACCAATAGCTTATTTCCGCTGGGTGTGATGGCTACGAGTCTTTTCAATTGTTCAGCATACACTAAATGGCCTATAGTTTCGGTTGTTTCTATTTCAGCCTTTCGGAAGCCGTACCGTGTAACCACCATAACCGTGCCCCCTGCATCAACGATCAGGTACTCCTGAAAATCTTCTGCACATGATTACACATTACAGGTGACCCTAGCTGGCACTTCCTTTGATTTCAAATACTTGCTTAAATATACGTGTTTATATATAATGTAAATACTGTAATAATGTATGTAAATATTGTTTAAAAGTTATGAAAACTTAATCCAAAAAGAAAGTAGCCAGCTGGGCTAAAGTAAAATATTTTGGGTTGTGGCTCAAATTTGAGTGGCTCAGCTTATGTCATGAAGCGCTAGTTTTAAATTCGTTTTCTTAAAAGTTGATACTAACATTGTTCTCTACTATAAATCTATAAATATTGACATGTTACTAGGGGGTTTATCAATGATTGAAATAGATTTCATTCTACTGGTCAAAAAAGTATCAAAAATTGTTAAAAATGGTACTGAAATGGAGTAACCACATTGTAACCATGTTATCTCACCAATTATGAAATGATTAACTATAAAAACAACCCATCACATTCTGGACATTTTCGATAAAAATTCTGGGGCCTAACATTTTTTTTTTTTGCCCACAGTGACTGGGCATGTCAATTTTCATCACTGTGTACACATCTTTATTGATTATTAGTGCAAATGTATTGTATGTACATACAGCTTGATCATAATATCTGCATATTTTTTGGAATGGCATCATGACACCAGGAATGGAAAACACCAAAATTCTCACAATAAATTACGATGTTTCACAACTTATGCCTTTGTCACTCGCCAAAGCTGGGCGACTATAACAATTAACTTAATTACCTTTCTGATGGTTCAGTCCACATATTATTTCATGTACAAAATAAAGTCAAAAATAATTCCTATAACTGCCTAAAGGCTATATGTAAGTTGTAAATGAGATCTGTATGTATTGGAATGACTATGTAGGCCTATATGAATTTTGAGCTTAGATTTGTGTTCCTTTCCAGAGCTACCACATTACATGGGTATACAGTGTACAGGTATACAGGTATACAGATATATTGATACAGGTATACAGATATATTGATACAGGTATACAGATATATGATACAGGTATACAGGTATACAGGTATACAGGTATACAGTGTACAGGTATCCTAATCTATGAAAATTTCATTCGGGAATCAGAGGTCCTTTCATCGCCGAGCATTTTTGAAAAAGTGGTAATCAACCCGTTTCATATTTCATAACTAATCTGAATAGATTTTACCTGTCGATTTTGAAGGTATACAACATGCTGGATGGGAAGCTCGGAAGTGAACACGTTCATATAATGCTTGAAGCCATGGGTGATAGTCTTTGTCACGTGTAATGCTGCACCCGGATCGCCGATTGCCTTCACTGTATGACTCAACAACTGCCATTTCCCCCTAACGAAAATAATATTACATTATAATTATTCAACCATACGCTGTATGGACAAGTGAAAGATTAATGTGGGGGAATATAAAATTATACTATGATGACTCTGATTGCAACTCTTTTCAACTTTTAAATATGTAAGGAATGGTAAATTCTGACACTACGAACACAATAATAAATTATAACAGATTTTTAATTAGTCCAAAATTATTTCTAACCTTGTCTTCATCTCTGTATTTCTTCTTTCTGATTTTTGATATTGCTTTTCTATTGTATATATACATATATAGTGAGAGAGATATATAGAGAGAGTGAGTGAGTGAGAGAAAGAGACAGGCAGAGAGAGAGAGAGAGAGAAAGAGAGAGAGAGAGAGAGAGAGAGAGAGAGAGAGAGAGAGAGAGAGAGAGAAAGAGAGAGAGAGATGAGAGAGAGAGAGAGAGAGAGAGAGAGAGAGAGAGAGAGAGAGAGAGAGAGAGAGAGAGAGAGAGAGAGAGAGAGAGACAGAAAGGGGGATTCTTAACATATATTTTTTATGTCACACATAAAACATCCTCTCTACCTAGCATTGATATTAAGCTTAGGACGCCTTTGTCCATCCACATCATGTCGCTTGCTTTTGGATGCATGAAGATTTTTACTCTTCTTCATGGTGCATTCATTTATGGTCCTTGAGCTGCAATACAGTCATGAAGTTATATAAACGATAGTAGGGAACTTCGAAAAGCATGATATGACATTAATAAAAGAATTGATCGTGGACAAAAAGCGCATTTATAATAGACTCGATCATTACCACAAGAAGGATTTGCTCTCACATGCCATTTCTCACATAAAACTGCCCAGACAAGCATCAAATTTAATCCTCACCTATATTTTGCACAAAACAGCTTTGAAAATGGGTCAATGCTGACTAATATTTATTCACAGTAGTTTTTTTTTACATTTTCCACTTTACTTGGTGGTAAAAACAAAGAATTTCTATGATTCCTAACAACTCTGCCATGTTATTCTACCTAAGTCATACCAACAACTGTTATAATTTTATATAACTACAATACCACATACTACACCATATATATTCATATAGGGCGCGTTTGTTTGTTGGGACGAATCCGTCGGATCGAGATCATGTGATCCTGATCCGACCAAACAAATGCAAACTCACTTTCACCGGTTCACGTTTCGCTGTGACCTATCACGGGATGGTTCATAACAAAGAACAAGCTGTGATTGGCTGAGGCGCGGGCCACAATATTATTGGCTCCTGTTCAAATCCACCTCGCTAGCAGGGTCGGGTTCGGTGGATCGAGATCAAGTGATCCGACCAAACAAACAGTCAGATCAACAAATCCATCGGATCGAGATCTGTGGATCCAACCAAACAAACGCGCCCATAGACTATAGTACAGGGTAGGCTAGTATAGCTCTAAAGTGTACCACGGCACGTTCCTCTACCATGATGATGATATATATCCATTTTTCATTGTATTTGAATGCAGAGGAAATTTTAGTATGAAACCTAAAAAATAGATGAACATGCGCGCATTATAATGATCTTTACTAAGACTAAGTGATAATGGTAAAAGCTAACTCCGGCCTCATTTTGTACCTGCTGTATTGTAGTGTAACTCAACTGCAGTCTGTCATTGATTAGACTCTTACTCGAGTCTTACTCTTAGAGCGACTTCGGTTTATAGTACGCAGTAATACTAATAGTATTAGTAATAGTAGTAAATTTATACGTCCGCTAACTAGTCTAACGTACGTATGCGCGACACGGCAACAGATCAAACTTCAAAGATCTTTTTATATTATATGTAATATTGTGTAGACCAGTACAGACGTAATCCGAGTTACCTTAGACTTAGTCACACTTCACGCGGTTAATTAGTACTCAACTCCCGCGTTTCGTGCTGCACACTCACTCTCACTCTCTCACTCCGAACTGACACTGTGCATGACTCATTTACACACACACACACACGCTGACTAAATCATTTTAGTAAGACCATTAAAATAGTAAAGCACAGATGTTACTGTGCATTTGATGACTACATAAGGTAAGACTGGGAACCATTAGTAATGAAAGTCAAAACCAGTATTTTGATATTTTTTAGTTAACCGCCACGGAAACCGCCATGACGGCTTCCTTGACAACGCCGGATATGTCAAAACAGTGGCAAGTCAATAAACATATATTAAGCGTTTGATAATATTTTTATACAATTGCAATTGAAACTTAATCATTTAATGAATGCGCTAATTGTATATATTAGTAAATAAGAAAGTAATGTTAATTTGACGTCTCATCCGCACCATTTGGCAAGAACAACCAACACGATGAGAAGAATGGCAGCCCCCACAGAGAGAGCAAATGTTGGATTAGATTTTCATCATTGTCCTGACTTATCACGATCACTAAGAGAATGTTCAAATTCTGGGTATTTCACGGAATAGCATTTAGTTATTATTGGTTGATTTCTAGATATACCATGGCATATTAGTCTATTAGAAGACATGCAGCCAGGCTGCAGCTGAGTGCAGGTGCAGGCACAGTAACAAAACATTTCGGCCCAAGGATAGAGAACATGACATGGGTCCCAATAAAACCAATGTGCCTAACCCTAACCCTAACCCTAATTCTAACCCTAACCCTAACCCTAATTCTAACCCTAACCCTAACCCTAATTCTAACCCTAATTCTAACCCTAACCCTAATCCTAACCCTAACCATAACCCTAACCCTAACCTATTATATTGATATAATATTATATTTATATTGATGTAAATGACATTGGTTTTTTGGGACCCATGGCCATGTTCTCTATCCTTGAACCAACATTTCTACACATGAATTACTTCGGTTCAATTAGTATGGCTGAGAGGGTCTATGTCCCCCGGGGTACTGCCTGAGCGTACCCTGGGTACGGTCCGGTATACCGGAACGTACCTTGGTACTCTCTAATATGCCGGACCGTACCTCGCCTACTCCACTAACGAGTCTAGGGAGTCGCCTACGCCTACTCCCTAACCCTAACCCTAATCCTAACCCTAACCATATCAAATAGTGACCAGGGTACGTTCCGGTATACCGGACCGTACCCAGGGTACGTTCCGGCAGTACCCTGGGGGACATAGACCCTATGAGCATTAGTATGATTCTATGAACGCAGTGACCGTGTGCTGTGTCGTGATGATTCTGACACGGAATAATTACATATCGATGATAGTGCTGACATTCAAACTTGAACTACTAATATTGCAGTGGCTATTTAAATTGACTACGTCACGAATATTCTATGGTGTATATTTGTAAAATTTTAGTTGCAATTTTTGTACATTAAATGTTAGTACTAATGGGACTAAATGTATCCTCAAATTCTTACCTGATAGGATTGTTTCTCAACTAGTTAAAAATCCAAAAAACCTGGGCGATTTGATATTAAATATTATTATGATCACGACATTAAAATGACTATTGCGAGTTTTTTGGCTCAGAAAAAACTAAATATAGCTGAATATAGTCTCACCTGACAGTGGAAATATCACTGATTACACCAACATTAAAAACACTAAGATTTTATGCAGTTATAGCATCTTTTGGACGTCTGGCGTCCTGAGGATAGAAAAATGGATTTGACCACATCGTAACAGCAATAAATTTTATCGTGTGCCGATAATGCCTAATGGCAGAATTGGTAAACTTGTATTTGTGTCGGTGAGTAATTGAAAACAAGTGCATGATTTGAGAGAGCCTGTACTGGTCTACGGCAGATAAGCGGTGGTGCCACAAGCTAATCCATACTTCTGTCTAGTTCAAGATAACAGAAAACGATCATTTACAAAAACTAGTTTGAAATCAGTAGTTCGAAACTGCCACTTATTTGGTGAATACGAAGGTTCTAAGACATTTTATTGTTAATCTAGACAATTGCTGTCTGTGTTTGCCACTGAGCAGAAAAAGCTGTAGGCCTGCAGGGCCTATAGCTCCTAAAAGCTGCAGGCCCGCCAGCAAAGCTGTAGGCCCGGCAATTTTGGAGCAAATTACAGTAATAAAACAGCATATCATGTTCTTCCTTGTGTTTATTAGTCATTATCAATGTCCATAATCATAATCCCTCTGTTTTTCCTTCCTCTCGTCGGATGACTGTTTATGCTTCTTTGCCGGGGGCTCACAATTAAGGAAACGCCACATGGTTGTTATATGTAGCTCCTTGGTAACTACGACTCTCCACTTTGACAGCAGAGTCTGCAGAGAGACAGACTGGTAGTCTGTTACACATCGGTAGCAACGTAGTAGCGTCTCATAACATTGCAAGTGGAGCCGTCATACGTACACCAGTCTAACCATGTGTTGATCATACAGTCATTTCGATTGATCGAAATCTGAGACACTTGCTCAGGCCAGCTAGACCCACGGTCACCCACCAATGAGAAACGATTTCATGTTACTCGCAGCTAATTCCGCATTCGACTGGCAACTTGCCCTTTAGTTTATCACACTGTGGTGCGCAGCTTGGAACAAGGTTCCAGGCTATCGCTCTTTCATTTACAATCAGGGTGCGCGAATATGCAGTGGGCGAATGCATTGGGGTGTATGTCACGGTTTATCACAGATTAGTTGTCAAGTAAATACCCCTGGAAGTTAATATGCAAGAAAAGATTTCTACAGGTAACAGTTTCTCAGTGTTTCGAATTTTCGGTGATCAAATAGCTGTATGATCAGCAGGCCAGTTTTATCAAGAAGCTGTAGGCCCGGCATCGAAACTGTCGGCGGCGGGCCGACGGGCCGACGTGAATTTCGAACACTCATTGCTGTTACTCGAGCAATAACAGTAGGTGTCATGAAAGTGGTAAAAACACTGGAAAACACTCGCAATAGTTACTTTAAATGCTTGCTATGGGCTATGTATGAGGCACGAGTGTTTGTTCACATCGAATGGAATAGCAAAATAGGAAGTATATTGCAGCAATTTAACCATAAAAAGTGAACAGAATCACTTACATTTTGTGAAAAAGTGGACATCACTTTAGCTGTATACGGCAGAGAATCCACTTCCGCTATTTTACCGTACAGTACTTCTGATTGGCTAGTATATTTATATATGTGTATATAGTGTATGTTAGTAACGTAAGTTAGTATGAACGTAATGGCGTCATAAATATACTAGCCAATCAAATGTGCTGTACGGTAAAATAGCGGAAGTGGATACTCTGCCGTATACGGTTAAATATCCACTGCCTACTAATTTAGCCTTACTCAAGTTACTGCCACATCTAATTTCAATTTTCATGGTTGAGACAATGATGAAAAACTCAATCGAAAATTATCTAAGTTTGGTTTGTCAGCAGTTGTTTACAATTTGAATTGCAACTGCCAAAGCAGGTGGCACAGAGTTTTCTGAACCACACATTTTTACAAACATGTTGGGCTATATATCAGTATCTATGCATTCTGGGCTCGTCACTGACACTGCCATTGGAGCACACAGAACACTCATTTCTTTGCTACTCCTAGTACTACTGGTATTTTCACAGTAACCAGCAGTGAATTTGGGCAAACTACTATGAGTTTGTTGGGGGGTTGTGTACGTGTAAATGAGAAAAGGTGCCAGTTATCGTCAACAGTGTGGATTAGATGACCATACTCCTACTTCAAAACTAATCATTGTTACATGCAAGTATTTTCAAATTCCAGATATGACTTTGCAGCATTTCCAATGACTCATCCCAAACACATGAGAGAATTTATCGAAGGAAAATCGGTAAAAAAGAATGGATTTACACGTTCTGATTTACTGCTTACGAGTCAAGGTACTTTATTAAAATTTAAAGTATAAGCAAATAAATTTGCATTCATGATTACATCCCTAGCTTTCTTTAACTGGGATTTTGTAAGTTTCAGATATACATTACATATAGATACGTGTCTAGAGGAAATGTTAGTTTTACCTATTTATATTTACATGCCAGACTGGTCAACATATATTGTTGGGAAGATATCACCATGGATAGAAATGGACTCGGACCAAGAGATCATTCGTCGTAATTCTGAAAAGGTAGTTATATTATATATATGTTTATATCTGAATTATTTTACAAACTAAACTTTAATGCTAAACACTGTAATCGTTTACCTTAATCTCACAAGTGTATGAATCTATAATCAACTAGTTAGTAATTTAATTCCATACAATGCATCTATTTCAGGCACTTGATCAAGAATTCAAATACGCCAGTTACTTGGCTCTACCATCAGTAATCGTCCCATTAACAAGCGGCAGTTGTGTAAACCTAGCTCGCTACTTATACCATGTTCTGATGACAGGGCTTACAAACCAGGTATTTAATATTCTGAATTGGTAGTGATACTGGTATTAATACCCTATATGAAGAAATATGTGTATGCTATTTCGTACCAGCTGTAAACATTGTGCTACTTTTGAGTTTATCAGGTAACGTGTTTCGTAGAGCTATATATTACAGTTGCAATGCATGTTGTATGATGTAAAGAGTTTGTGCATATTTTAATTGATATTTATGGTGTCTGTCTATTTCAGATATGGATTCGAGTGCCAATGAAAGCTGCCAAAACGGAGATAAGTGATGTTGTAGCTAACGTAGATGTACCAGAAGATCTTGCCTCCGTAGGACTTGATACATGGGAATGGTAAACTGGAATTAATACTCACTTGTTAATGGGTTCATATATTCCGATTATTAAAGTGAATTACTAAATTGGGATGGAAAGTAAATGGGGTATCATAAAGGGTTTCACAAGAGTTTGAATTTAGGTATTCCTTATTCATTTCTAGCTAATGGTTGAGGATCAATACCAGATTATCAGATTTTATGAGCAATTTATCATACTTAGATTCATACATACGTAAAACCAAAAAACCGTTAAACGGTGTCTAATACATCTAAACACGAGTTTTCATTAAAGGGGAAGTCGACACTTTATACTTCATACAAACCCCAGAGCAAATGAATCTAACTAAATGCGTATGGATCACTTTTATCCTATATACTAGTTGCACAGTTCTTTGTGTAGAAAACTCCGCATGTGCAGTGCACAAATTTCAGAATTATTTTCAGTTAGTTTTTCTGTTTATGCTATGTGAGAAGTTTTACCATTCAATATCAAAAAGAAATAACTAAAAACGTGATTTATGCAGTGGTTGTGCTATATTTTTTGGATGGTGACATTTGTTGTACTGCTCTTGAAAGTATATATCATTGACCTAGCTTGAACTATTGCCATATATTTCAACGTGTTAAAATAATATGTTTTCATGTTTTAATCATTAAAGTCATGAATCATAAAAATCATCAAGGTTTACCTATCAGTTTTAGTTACTTAACTCATTATTTATGCTAACTATAAATTTTACTGTTGGATATTAGCTTCTTCATTTGTTAATTTATTTAAGGTTACAGCATGTATTTTTTTTAAAGAAATTTTATTAGTGAAGCTCAAGTTATCAATGTAAAGGATCAGCACACATAATTAACATCAATAAACACCCAGCAGCAGTTTTTAATATTAAGTCTGGATATATTTCTCATGAACATTAAACAGGACAAACTTTTCATAAACGTTATGGAGTATCATTAAAGAGCTATACCAACAGTAGTCTTGTTTAAAAATTAGTTTTATAATTAATTATTATAGTGATTCATTACATTTGTTGTTAATATAAATAAAGACAAATATTAAGTTGATATTTGTATGATTAATTGTCATGCACAGTCAGCCATGTTCGTCGGTAATTGTCGCGTCCTTGGCAGGTGGAACAAGCTGCGTAGTGTCTGTGGCACCAACAAATTTCTGGGTCTTGCGATCGTCGTGCCAGCAGATCTGCCCAGTGAGGAAGAGATTGACCGGTGGCTCGGCGAACCCATCAAATGTGCCATCTTGCCAACTTCGATTTTTCTCACGAACAAGAAAGGATTTCCGGTGCTGTCGAGAGCCCATCAGAAGCTGGTGCACAGGTTGTTTAGGGTGAGAAAAATGTTTCAATGAATTGGTATTAACATTAACATACCAGGGCTGTAGCTAACGGGGGGGGGGCAAGCGGGGCAGCTGCCCCCCAAGAGAAATGTAGATACATTCAGACATGTAAGTCTTCTGTTTTTTGACGGAATTCCGTTTTTCTCATTTCCTGTTCAAAAATTCGTTTTTTTAAATTTTCGTCGTTTAGTTTTTCTGAAAAAAATTTAGCTACAAAAATCATCATTTCTGTTTTGAATTTCCATGTTTTATGGCAGGTCTTGGTTTTCTATTGATAATTTGATGAGTGACAGACCAGTCTTGTGTCTTGGAAACAGATCTATATACTTATATTGATATCAAACCCCTCATGTAAAAAAGTTGTCTGAAATGTTCTAAAATTGCATCAGAGAACACTTTGAAGCACCCCTCATTATGGTGGCCAAGGCCACCATCCTCCGGTTATGATTAAATATTTAATAATTTCTTTTTTTTACTCTTTTGCCACTTACATCTCTGTACATTATATAGACAACGGCGGTCACCTTCCCAGAACACACCATGCACGTGGCTTTGCCCCCCCCCCCCCGGCAAAATTGGTTAACTACGTTCCTGCATGCTGTATACTATATATATTAGATACCATTAGATAGTAACCATAGATATCATGTTTGTGTTATGAGTAAGTTTCTTCACTCTTGTCAGAAATATCTATAATCGGTGTTTGGAGATTGCAGGGGTGAACTGATGTTTTGCAAACGTGTTTGCTTTGACAGCTGGATACACAGCTGATGGTTAGTGGGAACACCAGGCATGAGGAGCAGGGTTTCGTGTCCTACCAGCAGTATCTGTCCTACATTTACCAGGTAATGCACGTTTTGTAAAAGTGTCCGACCATCGTACGTCACACATCTCATTTATGGGAATTTTATTAAAATTATTGAAAATTATAAAATTGTCAGAAAATGCGCATTTGTAATGAAATGCAGAAAAAATGGCTTGTTTAGGGTGTTGGGCAAGGTACAATTCATAATTAATGCTGCGTGAATTTTATAGTCAGTTTAGCTGTAATATGATCAGGAGTAAATAATTACTTACTCCTGATTATGATCCCCACGCTAATTCTAATTCTGAGTATGAATTTCTCACAGTGCCAATATCGGTAAACCACTGTATTTTTCGTTGTAGGCAATGCCTAATCTCGATCCTGTTGCAAGATTTGCCAAGGGTTATGAGGATTACCTGCAGTCTCCATTGCAGGTAAGATATAGGGTTCTTATTTTTGAAGTGATCTTATATTATTATTAATATGCATTTTAAGGTCAGAGTCCAAAATGTTAATTTGAATGTGTAAACCAAAATAGGCACTATAAATATGTCCACACCAGTCAGACAATGCAAGTTTGTAATTATGTTGCACATATTTATAATGTATGTTTTAATTAAATTATAATGCATTGATTAAATAAGCATTTATTTATGATGCTTATCAATTTCAACAGTTTACAGGCATGAGAATTTTCCGCGGATTTGCGGATTTCCGGGTTTTGGTTTTCATTTTGGTCATTTTTGAAATTTGAGAGGGGGGGTAAGGTGTACTTTTCTTGTCAAAATGGATACCATTTTTTATTTAAACTTCATAAAAAGTCAGGAAGAGTACGTCAAATTTCACACAGAAGTAACGGAACTCCAGATAAATATCGCGGTGTATATAAAACATTGAAATTTTCATAGAAAATGACAAGACTTTCAATCATTAGTCATGAAATTGATCTTCTACTAAAAACAGAATGGACTTACAATCACCCCCAGGATGCATGGAAATGACCTATCTGCACTTCCAAATTTCAAACATTTCCTGGGGGCACGCCCCTAGACCCCCCTAGCAGGACAGTGTGCGATGCAAACTGAAGACACAAATTGAAATATTTTCTCAAAAAACATCTCAACCTGTTCTCATGCCTGAGTTTAATATTTTTTTGAAAATTGTACATGATTGCGATTTTTGAAATTACAGCTTTGTGCTTGTTGTGTTCATGTCTGGCATGTACTGCCCCTTGTGATGATGCCATAAGTTGCGTTATATTACACTTTATTATTGGCATTTGGTACACATATTACTCTGTTTTAAAGTTGTATTACATTTATCTACGATTACCACCCAAACTATGAAAATGAGCATGCAGAAATATTAAATAATTTAATTGACAATAGTGATGATAACAAATGTGTCCATTATTTTGGGTGATACTCCATTAGGAGTGTTCCCGACTTTAATGTCATTAATGGTCATAATAACATATACATATATGTGTATATATATATATTATATATATATCATGTATATATGGTCGTGGTCATATATTAGTTTGTGGTTGAATGTCATTTAGGGTTAGGGTTAGGATTATCAATCATTAATCATTAATAATTAATAATTAATGATATCAAAGTTGGGAACACTCCTAATGGAGCGTTAGCCATTATTTTTGTCCATCCACTTGATGCTAAAAAAAGTTTATATACACACTTGTACCCAATTTGTACTGTACTGGCTGTATCACAGCAATGGGACAACACCAGAACCTATGTCACCTGTGACAATATATTGTTTAAAGTCACCATTTTAATAATTTTTCTCAATATAAAACGTTTCAATTCTGCACATAGTATAAACAAAACGAAATTTATTGCCAACCATTGCTGAAGGCTAGAATTGTTATCATTGTTTAGTAATGTTTGTTTTGCGATAGCCTCTCATGGACAACCTAGAGTCGCAGACGTATGAAATATTCGAGAAGGATCCAGTGAAGTACAGTGAATACCAGCGG